TGAAACTAGACCCTGTTATACAGAGTGAAGTAAGTTAGAAAGAGAAAAATAAATATCATATATTAACTCATATATATGGAATCTAGAAAAATAGTGCTGATGAACCTATTTATAGAAAGGGAGACGCAGGTATAGAGAATGGACTAGAGGATAGAGCAGCGGAAGGGGAGGCTAAGACAAAGTGAGAAAGTAGCACTGACATATACACACGATCGCATGGAAAACGGATAGCTAGCAGGAAGCTGCTGCGTTAACACAGGAAGCCCGGCCCTGCGCCCTGTGACAACGGAGAGGGGTGGTAGGGGGGAAGGAAGACTCAGGAGGGAGGGGACCATGTGTGTGCTCAGTCACGCAGGCCTGTCTGGCTCTTTGTGACCCCACGGATTATAGCCTGCCCAGCTCCTCTGTCCATGGAATTTTCCAGGCAAGAATACCAGAGTGGGTTGCCATTTCCTCCTCCAGGGGATCTTCCTGATTCAGGGACTGAATTCACTGTGGCTCCTGCATTGGCAAGTGGATGCTTTACCACTGAGCCACTCAGGAAGCCCCAGGAGGGAGGAGATACATACATACAAAATTATAACTGATTTGTGTTGATGCGTGGCAGAGAGCACCACCACACTGTAAAGCAATTATCCTCCAGTTAAAAAAGAAAAGCTGTTGCGGTTATTCTGAACGCTCAGGACTGAGATCTGTGTCCAGGGTTTGTCCTCAGAACCCTATCCTTCTTCGGGTTTTAGGTTTTCTAGTAACTTACACTATTTCAATGGCAGAAGAAGTATGTGTCCCCTGACATGTTTCTCTAGAGCTGTGGGGTAGGCTCCACTGCAGCTTTAAAAAACTTTAATGTTAAAAATTTTTTTAATCTTGTAAAAAAGTTGACACAGTAATCACAGTACCATTATCCAATAGCAACAGTGATCAATAGTCTGCCATTTTATCTAAGCAAGTACCATTTTATGGCTGCTAGTTTATTTTAAAGCAAATCTCATACATAAATTCAATCAGTGCACATGTACTTTTAAGGATTTTTAACACAGTCACATTACCATCTATCCCCAGTTAGCACTCGTTTCTTAATACCATTTACTACCAGGATTGTGCAATTTTTATCAGGTTGTCTCTAAAATGTCTTTTTATATCTGATCTGTTGAATAAGAATCCAAACAAGGATCCACACATTACAATCGGGGCTATGCTTCTTAAATACTTCTCAATCTATAATAGTCCCCTCATTTTTTTTTCCCTTCCAATGTTATTTGTTTTTTGGGGAAACAAAATATCTTGCCCTGTTCAACTGTCCATATTTGGGATATGATTGAATTGTATCTTCATAATGACTTTTTTAAGAGAACTAAATACTCTTTCTATTTACTTTATTTATGGCTGCATCACACGACATGGGATTTGCAGGATCTTCCTCGACCAGGGAAGGTATCTGTGCCCCCTGTATTGGGAATACCAAGTCCTAACCACTGAACCACCAGGGAAGTCCTCTCATAATGTTGTATAACATGTTCCTCAACCCTCTCTTCTTTTGTATATTGGTAATTAGACCCCTGTACTTAAAATCAGGCTCAATTTCGCTTTCATGTGGGGCACAAGGGAAAGATTCAGCTTCATTTTAAACATTAAGTCCACTCTTTTTAATTTTTTAATTGAAGTTGGCACCTTTGCATTGAAAGTGCCAAAGTTGGCACTTTTGCATTGAAGTTGGCACCTTCCTTGCTTTCTCTTTCTCCTGGCATTCTGGGTTCAATGTTTGTATTTCTAATGCTCTTTCAGACTTCATCTCTCAGAGTCCTCCATATCAAAAGATAGGAAAGTGAGTTAATCTGAGCATGCAAATCTGAAATTAGAACCTGCATAAAGCATGCAATTGTCAAACAAATTATGTCCTCCCATATCTCTTCGAATTATGCAATCCTTTTAAAGAGCTATTCAGACCTCAGACCAACTTTTAATACAGTTGGATTTGATCTTTCTTTGTCCTGTACATCTTCTGTTCAGTATATACTGTCTCTTCTGTACCTTCCTTTAGAATACAAAAGCCACAAATTTTACAATTTTAGAACTAAGCATCAAAGCATTGTATTAACGGGAATTTCATAGTCTAATATTATGTCTTGTACTTAAGTCCTAGAAAACAAAAGGCCAGAGCAAAAAAAAAAACCCTTATATTTGCAATCAATGGGTAATTGAAAGGATTACATAATGATTTAGAGAACACTGGATTTGAAGTCAGAAGACTTGAGTTCAGGTTTCTCACTCATAAGTTTTATTACTTTGGGGAAACAAATTAACTGGGATTTTATTTCTACATCTATTTAACAAGAGCAGAAATTAGATGATTTCTGAAGTCTCTCAAGATGAGTGATTCTGTGATTCTAATATCCCTCAATTTATTGTACATTCTGAACCTCATCTCCACTCTTTAATCAAAGGTAAAATTCTTTTCACACTGAAAGAACTTCCTCTTATCTAGTTAGTGGGCATTCAGCCTTCAGCTCAGTTCAGTTCAGTTGCTCAGTCATGTCCAACTCTCTGCAAACCCATGAACCACAGCACGCCAGGCCACCCTGTCCATCACCAATTCCCAGAGTTCACCCAAACCCATGTCCATCGAGTTGGTGATGCCATCCAACCATCTCATCCTCTGCCGTCCCCTTCTCTTCCTGCCCTCCATCTTTCCCAGCATTAGGGTCTTTTCAAACGAGTCAACTCTTCGCATCAGGTGGCCAAAGCACTGGAGTCTCAGCTTCAACATCAGTCCTTCCAATGAACACCCAGGACTGATCTTTAGGATGGACTGGCTGCATCTCCTTGCAGTCCAAAGGGCTCTCAAGAGTCTTCTCCAACACTGCAGTTCAAAAGCATCAATTCTTTGACGCCCAGTTTTCTTTATAGTCCACCTCTCACATCCATACATGACCACTGGAAAAACCATAGCCTTGACTAGATGGACCTTTGTTGGCAAAGTAATGTCTCTGCTTTTTAATATGCTGTCTAGGTTGGTTATAACTTTCCTTCCAAGGAGTAAGCGTCTTTTAATTTCATGGCTGCAATCACCATCTGCAATAATTTTGGAGCCCAGAAAAATAAAGTCAGCCACTGTTTCCACTGTTTCCCCATCTATTTGCCATGAAGAGATGGGACTGGATGCCATGACCTTAGTTTTCTGAATGTTGAGCTTTAAGCCAACTTTTCCACTCCACTTTCACTTTCATTAAGAGGCTCTTTAGTTCTTTTTTACTTTCTGCCATAAGGGTGGTGTCATTTGCATATTTGAGGTTATTGATACTTCTCCAAGAAATCTTGATTCCAGCTTGTGCTTCATGCAGCCCAGCATTTCTCATGATGTACTCTGCATATAAGTTAAATAAGCAGGGTGACAATATACAGCCTTGACATACTCCTTTTCCTATTTGGAACCAGTCTGTTGTTCCATGTCCAGTTCTAACTGTTGCTTCCTGACCTGCATACAGATTTCTCAAGAGGCAGGTCAGGTGGTCTGGTATTTCCATCTCTTTCAGAATTTTCCAGTTTATTGTAATCCACACAGTCAAAGGCTTTGGCATAGTCAATAAAGCAGAAATAGATGTTTTTCTGGAACTCTCTTGCTTTTTTGATGATCCAGCGGATGTTGGCAATTTGATCTCTGGTTCCTCTGCCTTTTCTAAAACCAGCTTGAACATCTGGAAGTTCACAGTTCACATATTGCTGAAGCCTGGCTTGGAGAATTTTAAGCATTACTTTACTAGCATGTGAGATGAGTGCAATTGTGCAGTAGTTTAAGCATTCTTTGGCATTGCCTTTCTTTGGGATTGGAATGAAAACTGACCTTTTCCAGTCCTGTGGCCACTGCTGAGTTTCCCAAATTTGCTGACATATTGAGTGCAGCACTTTCACAGCATCGTCTTTCAAGATTTGAAATAGCTCAGCTGGAATTCCATCACCTCCACTGGCTTTGTTCGTAGTGATGTTTCCTAAGGCCCACTTGACTTCACATTCCAGGATATCTGGCTCTAGGTGAGTGATCACACCATCGTGATTATCTAGGTCTTGAAGATCTTTTTTGTTCAGTTTTATGTATTTTTGCCACCTCTTCTTAATATCTTCTGCTTCTGTTAGATCCATACTGTTTCTGTCCTTTATTGTGCCCATCTTTGCATGAAATGTTCCCTTGGTATCTCTAATTTTCTTGAAGAGATCTCTAGTCTTTCCCATTCTATTGTCTTCCTCTATTTCTTTGCATTGATCGCTGAGGAAGGGCATTCAGCCTTAGAAAAGAATAAAATTACTCCTTATCCTGTCCATCTTTGTCTAAAATATTCCTTTTTGTTTTGACCCTGCATGCTCATCTCATTCTCATAAAAGTTTAACAGATTTTGTCTGTCATTCTACCATGATATAGTTGAAGATGTAAAACATTAATTAATTACTCCATTAATTCACCTAAATATTATTACTTTGGTAGGCACTCTCCTAGGTACTGAACAAAACAGGCAAGGTTTTTGGTTGCTGATGACTCACAATCTACTGCAGGGAGACAGACAATAGATAAAAATAAATAACTAGATCGTGGTGAGGTCTATAAAGACAATGAAATAGGATGATGAAAAAGTGAATGGGAGAAAGGTTAGACTTTACAGTGGGCAGTCAAGGAGGGCCTTTCTCTGAAAGTATCACTTAAATGGAGACTTAGATGATACCAGAAAACTACCACAAGATGTACGGGATGAGTGCTCTAGACTGAGGGATGGCATGGGCATCATCTAAGTTGGGAGCAAGCTTGGTGTATCCTGGAGTGGTGTGAAGCATAGGGTCACAGCATAAATGGCTGAGAAGCCAGGGCACAGCATTTGGTATTATCCTTAAGATAGAAGGCACGTGGAGGATCCTTCACAGGAGACCATGATCTGATTTGCATTTATTCAAGACTACTCCAGCTTGACCATTCCCAGTGGGAGAGTCGCTCACCACTTCTCTTTTCCTAACAGTTTTTGCCAGAATCCTGCGGGCTCCTGAATCCCACAATGTCACCTTTGGCTCCTTTGTGGCCCTGCGCTGTACAGCCACAGGCATCCCTGTCCCCACCATCACCTGGATTGAAAACGGAATTGCTGTGAGTTCCATCTGTATGGGGACTTGTCTGGGGAAGACCCACAGGTGTTGAATTTGAGGGCTGAGAACATATTTGTAGAGTTACCATGATCTCTGTCATTGGTCTCACCTGGATCTCCATTTTTCAAAATCTTCCAATATTTTCATTCTAGAAGTCACTGTCTAGAAACTGAACTCCATAGGTTTACTTCTTTCCTTATATCATAGGGAATAGTAGAAAACCAAATTTATTCTTTACACTTTTTGTGTAAAAGAGAAGTGGTAATAATTCCTTCCCACACAAAAATCATCAGCTGAAGGATTAGTTCACTGCTGGAGCCTTCTTTGGTGAAAAGCAATCCAGAATTAGAATACATGTCCATTAGTGCAACATTTTATTTTCATTTCTAATACTGGTAATAGTAGCTAGTATATAGTATGTGATTGCTATGACTAGGCCCTGTTCTAAGCAGTTTACATAAAAGCATTCACTTATTCATTCTACAAATATTGAGCATCTCCTGGGCATCAGGCATTATTCTAGACATTGTACATACAGGCGCAACCAGAACAAGTATAGTTTCCTATCCTCAAGTTTCTTACACTAACATTGGAAAAAAACAAACAATAAAATAAGCAGACAGTAGAATCTATACTCTGTGTGAATAGTGTCCAATGCCATGGAGAAAAATAAAGCGGAAAAGTGAGAAAGTACAACCTCAGGAGGAAGATTCTGTTTTCAATAAAGTGGTCAAAGAAGCTTTATTAAGATGAAGATATTTAAGCAAAGAGCTGAAAGAGGAGGCTATGTATATAACAGGGGGATTACAACCAGGAAAAGTCTCTGAAATAAGGATACACCTGGAATGTCAGAGGAACAGCAAGTGTGGCTAGAGGAAAGAGGTAAGGGGTGTGTATAGGGATTGTCGATCCTACAGGTTTACATAGGTCATGGATACATTTGACTTCATTTGGATGAAATGGAATGCCTCTGTAGGTCTGTTTCTGTTGTCTGTTTTACTGCTGACTTTCTTTCATTGTGTTTTGTTTCCTTGTGTGCCTAGTTATCTTTGACTGCCTGCTGTTCACTGTTTTGAGAAAAAAAAAAATGTCAGAGGTTAATTTGAAGTCTAGATAAAGGTTCTTTTCTCCAGAGAATTTTTGTTTGTTTCTGCTAGGGACCAAGGGCTACTACTAATCTGTGATTGGCTTAAACGTGTTAAAGTAACTTGTAACCTTGTTCTTCTTTAGTTCTCTAATTAAACTTCAGGTATCATTTACAACTCAAATCTTATTTGACAGTACATTTTGTGGCTTTTCCCATGAAGCTGTAGGAGCTGTCTTAAGCCTTTCAAAGTAGTATAAAGAGATTCCCTAAGAAAACTGGGGAACTGACAATATGACTTTACTAATTTGTCTCACTCTTTAAAAGGCTTGTATGAGTTTAGAACTGGAAGATATATGATTATTCTCTGTTGGAGTTGAGGAGTAATTTTTAAAAGCCAGATGGTTTGAGTTAGTTTTGGTCTTACTGAGACTCCAACTTCATCTTTCAAGATGTGATTCACAAAAAAACAGAAAGCAAAATAGATTCTTTGCTGGAGATTCTAAAACAGGAATAAAATAAACGAACAGTGACTTTCCTCCAGGAGGAAAGCAAAAGGACATCTGCAGTTCTCATGGTCAGAGAGGGTTTGCTCTTAGGGCCAAGTTTTGTTCTTGGTGCTCCAATCCAAGTCCAACTAGAAATTGAGATGACTGCCCTGTGCTGATGCAAATCACAGGAAATGGAGGCAATTTTAGGCACTTAATGTCGGACAAGTAGCCAGCCAGAGAAGTCTATTGAGAACAGGGAAGAGTCCACAGACCTGGGATCATTTTGGGTGGGCAGGATTAAGACAAATGCAGAGCCGGGAGCAATTTGGCACAGAATAAGACAGGATTTGAACTGTGTCCTTTAACTAACTATAAGGCAGTGAACTAACTTCACTAACACACTGAAGTATTAAAGTATAATAAGTACTTTAAAAGATGTGAATGCTCCTTCATCCTCATACATGAACATGCTAGTAAACTTAAACCCTGAATGCTTACAGGCAAAGAATAAGAGAAATTGCCCCAAAGTGATACAAAATTCTTTTGCTTTCTTCCTATGGAGATATCGCTCATCTTTCATGAAAATTTGTAGTCTTAGATGAACTCAGAGTGAGCAGTAATATCCCTTTTGTTTTACAACATTGGAAACAATACTTTGGTATTGTTACTTATTACTACTTATGGCTACAGCAGAGATTACTTTTCTAAAAGAAAATAGCCTCATATTTTGATAACCAGATTTAAAGTTAAATCCAACTCTATTATTTTGGCATTCAAATAAAAAATTTGCACAGCTCTCTTGCTTTGTCCAAAAGATATATTTATAACTCCTAAAACATGTTAAAAGTTCAATCATTTTAATTTATTAGAAGAGTTTTCAAAATGAACAGCCAAATCTGTGTTGAAGATCGTGGTTTTTGAATTTCCTTAAAGGGAAGCTCACTTATATTTTATACATATTTTTAAGAGGCAGTTTTTTGGTTTAAAGGACATGAGCTATGGAATCATCTTCTCTTACTGTGTAAACCCAAGATAATTACATATATCAAGTGGAATATATTATGTGGACTGTCTCAGCAGCCAGATTGAAAGAGGTCAATATTCATGGCTATGTTGATCAGAAACAGAATGGGAAATTTTCTCAGCCAGACTGTCCCTTTTTCTATGATGCATAAACAGACATTTTTACAACTCCCTAGACCTGGACCATATTAGGCCACATCCTAAAGTTCCCTGAGATAGTTCTAGCCAACTGGGACTATTTGCTGCATGACAAGGTCATAGAAGCCAGAATGCCATTCAGAGGTCAAATTATGATGAAGTTATAGGATTATCCATAACTGGGGGTAAATTCTCTCCAAACAGCATTATTAATGATATGTAAAAAGTTTTCCGCCTATGTTGTCTCCTTCAGAAGACTTTTACATACATTTTATCAGGTGTGAACTAATATGCCTATTTAATAGAGTGCCTGTTCGATGGCCTCATCTGACGTCACAGTCTCACCCCCACACACAGAACAGAGAGCTGTTTATCCAGTGCTTTCAGGTCAGTATGCCTGGGTGACTTGGAGAAAAAACATATTTACTGTAATACCAGATAAAGTCACCTCAATGAAGCCCTTACCGTTGCCTCAGCATACCTTGCTTAAAGCTCCCAGGCATAATCTGAACTCATCCTTTTGAGCTTTTAAATCTGAAAGGCAAAATGATCAAAATGCAGGGCAAGGGGGTGTTCTGAATTTTAGGTCATGAAAAATACTAAACTGTTGGTCAGATTGCTCCATGAAGAAAGAAAAACAAATTCAAATGATGACTAACAAGGCCTGCTGTGCATGAGTCACAAACTGAATCAAGCCAGGCCTCTGGAAACAGGAGGAAAAGCACTTAGGAACCACATCATCATCAGGCAATGAGCCTTGGAACTTGACGGTCTACCCGCTGGACTGTCAGCACCTGGATGATGTCCAGGAGGACGGAGGTCAGGTGGCTTAAAACTCATTTCACTTTCCTCCCAAGAATGTTTTCAGTGACCTTGAGGAGTGACTTTCTTAGGTGTGAACATGAAAATAGTGCAAGTTTAGTCAGCATTTAGGGGATTACGCATTTCTGAGTTGTCTCCTAGGCATCCACAGTACAGACCTACCTCTTGAAAGAAGAAACAAACTTGCCAAGGAGGGAGGTAACTGTTCTACAGAGTTCACATATATAAACTGGGAAGGGATTATATTTAAAAACAAAATATCCTCAGAGCATAAAACATACTAACTGACAGTGATTTGAGGTCTTTAGCTTTTTTCTCATTGTTGCTTTGTATTAAAATCTGGGGAGAGTCCAAAATTGTATTTCACCAACAAAGATCTACTATAGAGCACAGTGAACTCTCCTCAATATTCTGTAATAACCTTTATGGGAAAGAATCTGGAAAAAATGGATCTATGAATATGTGTAACGTAATCACTTTCCTATACACCTGAAACTAACACAATGTTGTAAATCAACCATACCCTAATAATCTTTTCAAATTGCATTTCAAATTGTTCAGTCCTTTCCATCTAACTTGGACATTCAAATCCATAGGAACTTGCACCTCTGACAAATATGATAATGATGCATTCGCAATTCCCAACTGCATGTGTGTCTCTCAAATATATTTTCCTCTCTGCCTTGTCAATTTCTCATAGAGTCCAGGCTGCTTATCTGGGGAAAATGCCACAATACTCGATCTGACCTGGGAAGTTTCCCCAGTTAAGGTAAATTGATGCTCACATAAATCAGTGTTTCTAAAAGAATGGAGACTCATAGTGTAGATAAAGAATAAAAAGACAGAAGCTAATTGGACAAACTTCCACTGCCTAACCGCGACAGACAGTGCTTGCTTCTGGGGCCACCCAGCTATCTGGCAGGAGAAGCATGAAAAGTTGGTCTCACCTCAGGGCTTCCCTCCCCCTTGCAGATCTAAATGAGAAACAGTAAAATATCTTGGCTCCAAGTTTCTTACTCCTAGTTTCCTTCTCTACTACTAGACAGAAAGATCTTTGTCAAGGCCACCAAGGTACCCACTCCTACTCCTGCTCTAGGTAAACCATTAGCTGATTCCTTGATTGTCAGTCCATTCGCAATTCTCTCAAACTAACAATTTCCCCCTCAGATAAGCAATGATAATGAAAAAAAAAAATAACTGAAAAAATGGCAGAGTGCTTAAGAAAGCAGTGAAGAAAGAATCACCAGTTTAAGAAATGTCACCACCTTAACAATGACATTTAAGTCAGAGGTTTATTTTGTTCATGGCTGATTTGAGGTTTTGTTGTCACTGCTCTTCTTTTCTAATGACTATTCACTTTTAGTAGGCAAGGCAGTAAAACATAAATATTAAAAGCACAGACTTTGGGGGTCAGACAACCTAGCATGTAAATTGGAACTCCGCAACCCAAAAGAATGTACTGGGAGCTGTCTTTCTTAGAGCTGGCATGCTGATGACTAAAGAGCATTTAGGTATATTAACTTGTCAATTATGCACTAATATGGCACTGGTAGCCTGGCTCTTCCAGGATATTTGATTTTCTGATATAGGTCATAATGCAGAAACAGGACTGACTTCACAACCGTTTTTTTTCTTGTTAACCATCCACTATTTGTTGTGCATTTGGGGGGGGGATCTGGAAAATAATTATGAAAATAACTCCAAAACTCTATTACCTCTCATAATTGACTGTCTCTAACTTTAAGACATAGAGATCTATCTTGGAGGATACACACAGGGTATCTTTTCTAGCTTGTGTTAGTTATCTACTGTCACATCACAGACATCCCAAAGCCTGATCACTTAAAACAAGAGCCATTTATTAATGCTCACAAGTCTGGCTCGACTGGGTGGTTTTGCTGATTTGGGCAAGGATTGCCTGATCTTGCTGATCTAGCTCCTGTGATTGGCAGGTTGACTAGGAGCTAGTGGGTCTAGAATGGCCTTACTCATATATCTGGGGGTTATTATTGGCTGCCAGCTACATCAGCGAGGATAACTGGGCCATAAGTGCCTCAACCTCTATCAGGCCCACTCTGGCTGTTCACAGGAGGTCACAGGTTCTAAGTGAAACAAGAAAGCAAGCCACAGTGTGCAAGAATATTGCAAGTGTCTGTATCTTTTGAAAACATGTCACAAGCCAATCAAGACTCAAAGCATGAAGAAAGAAGCCACCTCCAAAAGGAAGAGCAACAAAGTCACATTGTAAGGTCATGGGCTGGGAGACAAAAGTCGTTGGCAATTTTTGCAATCTACCACATGCCTTTTGATCCTAATCCTAATCCTTTTTCTTTCCAGTCTACTTTACACAGCATATTAGAAATTCTTGATCTAATTCTATCTTCTTTTCCCCCCCGACTCCACCAGGTTTCTTCTGGGTCTATTCAAGAAAGTGTGAAAGACAGAGTAATTGACTCAAGACTGCAGCTGTTTATCACCAAGCCAGGACTCTACACATGCATAGCTACTAATAAGCATGGAGAGAAATTCAGTACTGCAAAGGCTGCAGCCACCATCAGTATAGCAGGTAGGATGGCTGTTCACAATTGCACTGTTTCAGGAGAGGAGAAGGGGACGGCAGAGGATGAAATGGTTTGATGGCATCTCTGACTCGATGGACATGAGTTTGAGCAAGCTCTGGGAGTTGGTGATGGACAGGGAAGCCTAGAGTGCTGCAGTCCACGGGGGCGCAAAGAGTTGGACATGACTGAGCGACTGAACTGACTGACTGACTGAGGAGAAGAGAGTCGGTACTAATCCACAGCATCCTTCACTAGGGAACATCTTTTTTTCTTTTAAACCTCTTAATCCAGGCCCACTTGGGATATTTCTTCCTCCAAAGGTTGACCAAAATAATTGATTTTGGGAAATTCATTGCTTCAAAAATTAAATTCTTAAATGCCTGCCTAAGTGATATGAAACAGCTTCCAGGAGTTCATTTCTTTCCATATCTTTCTCTTTCATGTTCTTTTCTTCCCTTTCTTTTTTTATTCTTCCCTCTCTCCCTCCCTCCCTACTTCTTTCCTCCCCTCCTTCCTTCCTTCTTCCCTCTCTCCCTTTCTTTTTCTTTCCCTCCCCTCCTCTTTTTTCTCTTCCTCCTCTTTCTTTCTGGGGGTTAATCAAGTTTTCCAAGGCTCTCAAAGAGTAAGTTGGCAGACATTTAACATGCTTGTGCCAATTTCTAATTGGCTGTATTTTAGGGCATTTTTACTTATAAATACATTATCTACCTCGTGGCCTTTCCCCTTCTTGTTTCATGCAATTGATAGCAGGATCCACAGATATTTTCAAGGAAAAAGGCTGACACATGGATTTCTAGGATATTTGTGTTGAGTTATAAAGGTTTATTTTTAAAACTTAAATGTCCCAAAGGCTTCTGAGAACATCTGTGGAATTCCTAGAGATGGAAATAATCCCTGTATCAGGAAATGCCAGGCATGATAATATTCATAGCATGCCTACTGTCCAAGGGTCAGCAGAGAGATACTTGGCCTCACATGTAAGGTAAGCACTGGTAGAACCTGTATCCAGAGCCAGTTCCCCAGAGTCTGATATTTCTTATTACAGTGTAACTTCTTTGATCTTCCCTGATGAGGAAATTTCTAGTAATGCTTGTGATTTTCAGCATGAGGTGAATAAGGACACAGAGAAATACATAGGGAGCATTGGACAAGGCTGGCCCTCTGAGGCATGCCCATGAAGGAAAGAGATTTCAAAACCAGATTCTTTCCTCCTTCTCCTCCAAGAATATATCTGTATCTTGAGATATCACATCAATTATTCAAGAATTTCCACTGATGGGAAGTCATATTCCCAGAGAAGGGTGAGACTCTTAAAAGTAAATTCAACTCAATTTAACAAATAATAATAAACTGGCTACTCTTCACATACCATTTGTTGTCCATGAAGCACTCTTACATGCATTTATTAAATACACTAGGTTCAGTCCATTGCCTTAGGTTAAGGATGCAAACTTAATTCATGAATGGGATCATCAACAATGGAGTCCAAGTCTTCCAGGGACTCTCAATCTAAAAAGGAAGCCCATCAGTCACAGACATCATGGCACAGACTATGTTCTATGCAGAAGCACAAAGTACAACAGCAGGAAAAAAGAGAGTTTAAGGGAATCCTTCAAAAAGAGGTACCATTAGAGTTAGAGATGACAAGGTCGAAGTGAGTCCAGAAAATAGCAAGTCATGATGGAGACTGCAATGAGGTAGAGGAGAGGAAGAAAGGTTTGAAGCGTGAGATCTAGCTAGACTATGAAGAGCCTGAGTAGGCTGACTGTACTCTTTAATCAATGGGAAGTCATTTAATTTTTTTAGAGGAGACAAGTGAATATGGTCAGATATATTCTTTATCAAATCAACAGATGTCAGGTGTCAAAAGATGAGGGGGCATGGCACGCAGTTAGGTTATTCCAGGAGTCTGGAAAAGTTATGAAATTCTGGACAACAGCAACAATTGGTAAAGAGAGAAGAGGAGAGATGCATGAAAACTATTAGGTAGATGGCAGGTCAGGAGAGAAAAGATAAGGTTTGAAAGTGTCTGAATGTGGTACAAGGAGTTTAGATGTGTCTGAGATTTTAAGGAAAATGTCTAGGACAAACAATAACAGATAAAAGAACATGAGAAGGTTCAAGAAATAACAAAATGATTACATTTTTGATGTCTTTAAATTACTTGGAATGATTCTAGTCTCACTATCTTATGTTTTATTTGATAGTTGATCAGGAGCCAGTGTTCAGTAAATATATATTTATATAACTATATCTATATGTTGATAACATGTGTATGTGCAGAGAGAGGGAGAAATAGTTACATATGAATACTCAAATCCAAGAAAATAAACTGATCTAGCCTAGCTTAACCTACACATTCACTGGTTGGAGGAGAAAATAAATGTTGCTAATATGAAGAAAGTTTCATTTCTGGTCATTATTCAGGCATTCAAAGATCAATTCCCTGCCACGTCTCTTCCCCTCCTTCCTCCTTCTATCTCTTCCTTACATGGAAAGAGAGAAGGAGTCTTGGATTTATGCAGTGGTGTCCTCTGGACCACCCTGGTCTTTGGTAAAGTCTACAGCTGGAGAACTAGTGATCTCATCTCTTGGCTTGGTTGAAACCCAGAGGACCTCCCTGTCTGGCTCAGCCCCATTGAGGCTCTTCCTGTAGCAGTCAATCCTGTACATCTCGGTCCAATCCTTCATCAATTCCCTCTCTAGAGTCTATTATGCAACCTTTGCCCCTAGTCACCTTGGCTCTCTCTGCAATGCCATACATGCTAAACCCCAAGTCAGCTCCTTCCTTATCCCTCTTGAGGCCTGTAGCAACTTCTGAATCACTTTCATGTTATAAAAAATCCAAAGAAGAGTCAGACCACTGACTCAGTCCTGCTGTCTACCCAACAGTGTCATACTACTATTTTCGCACTAATGTGGCCGATCTCATGTCGGGTTAAAGGGCCCTTATAAGATTCTCTGCTTCTGGAGTCCCAAATAAGAAGTAGGAAAAACTCCTGCTTTATCTTTGTGTAATTTATCAATATACCTCTCTTCTAGGATTTTGGTCCAGAGAAAGGAACCTATAAAATGTGTACCTTAACTCCCCTATCTTCACCTTTCTGTAATTTCATGTAGAATGAAACCAGCAATGATTTGACTTTAGTCAATGGGTTTGGAAAGTATGAGGTACCATTTTTGAATAACACTCCCTTACATGGCTAATTCATAAAAAGCCACAAGACCCTTTCGTTCATCCCCTGATCTGTTTTTCCTGTTGCATCACACTTATTATGAGACTTGAAGCTCCTCTACTTTTCCTAAAATTTCCTCATGCACATTTAAAAAGGGTATCTCATGAGTGCAATGGAATAAGACATCTGAACCCCATGAGACACCTGCCATTTTTATTTCTCTCCTTAACCTGTTCACATGGACATCACCAGATGGTCAACACTGAAATCAGATTGATTATGTTATTTGCAGCTAAAGATGGAGAAGCTCTATACAGTCAGCAAAAACAAGACCGGGAGCTGACTATGGGTCAGATCAAGAACTCCTTACTGCCAAATTCAGACTTAAATTGAAGAAAGTAGGGAAAACCACTAAACCATTCAGGTATGACCTACATTAAATCCCTTACAATTATGCAGTGGAAGTGAGAAATAGATTTAAGAGACTGGATCTGATAGAGTGCCTGATGAACTATAGACAGAGGTTCATGACACTGTACAGGAGGCAGGGATCAAGACCATCCACAAGTAAAAGAAATGCAAAAAAGCAAAATGGTTGTCTGAGGAGGCTTTACAAATAGCTGTGAAAAGAAAATAAGTGAAAGGCAATAGAGAAAAGGAAAGATATACCCATTTGAATGCAGAATTTCAAAGAATATCAAGGAGAGATAAGAAAGCCTTCCTCAGTGATCAGTGCAAAGAAATAGAGGAAAACAACAGAATGGGAAAGACTAGAGATCTCTTCAAGAAAATTAGAGATACCAAGGGAACATTTCATGCAAAGATGGGCTCAATAAAGGACAGAAATTGTATGGACCTAACAGAAGCACAAGATATTAAAAAGAGGTGGCAAGAATACACAGAAGAACTGTACAAAACAAGATCTTCATGACCCAGATAATCACGATGGTGTGATCACTCACCTAGAGTCAGACATCCTGGAATGTGAAGTCAAGTGGGCCTTAGGAAACATCACTATGAACAAAGCTAGTGGAGGTGATGGAATTCCAGATGAGCTATTTCAAATCCTGAAAGACAATGCTGTGAAAGTGCTGCACTCAATATGCCAGCAAATTTGGAAAACTCAGCAGTGGCCACAGGACTGGAAAAGGTCAGTTTTCATTCCAATCCCAAAGAAAGGCAATGCCAAAGAATGTTCAAACTACTGCACAATTGCACTCATCTCACACGCTAGTAAAGTAATGCTCAAAATTCTCCAAGCCAGGCTTCAACAATACATGAACATGAAATTCCAGATGCTGAAGCTGGTTTTAGAAAAGGGAGAGGAAACAGATCAAATTGCCAACATCCACTGGATCACTGAAAAAGCAAGAGAGTCCAGGAAAAACATCTATTTCTGCTTTATTGACTATGCCAAAGCCTTTGACTGTGTGGATCACAATAAACTGTGGAAAATTCTGAAAGAGATGGGCATACCAGACAACCTGACTTGCCTCTTGAGAAATCAGTATGCAGGTCAGGAAGCAACAGTTTGAACTGGACACGGAACAGCAGACTGGTTCCAAATAGAAGAAGGAGTATGTCAAGGATGTATATCGTCACCACGCTTATTTAACTTATATGCAGAGTACATCATGAGAAACGCTGGACTGGATGAAGCACAAGCTGGAATCAAGATTTCTGGGAGAAATATCAATACTCTCAGATATTCAGATGAAACCACCCTTATGGCAGAAAATGAAGAAGAACTAAAGAGCCTCTGATGAAAGTGAAAGAGAAGAGCGAAAAGTTGGCTTAAAGCTCAACATTCAGAAAACTAAGATCATGGC